TGCTGTGGTAATTATGAGATGAATAATACAACAACATTGCGTCTGCTACGATTGGCCTTTCTGTTGAGATGAGGGTACGCTGCACGTGACGTCAAATCACGTCCCAATTTACGTGCCCGAGCGGTACACCGCGCTCGCTTGATATGCTGTTCTTTCGAGACCACTTTCAAAGTTCCGGTCATCTCCCCAGTGTTGGCTTAGTACACAGGGTACGGTACGACGCAGAGTGGTGTCTCGAAAATTAATGATATCATCTAAAGCAAGGCGCTGACGTCGACCGTATTCGGTGATCACTCGTTCATGATCTGAGGGGTGAACGCGGCTGATTCCGTCATTTTCGAGAATGCTCTCATCGATGCGCTAACGCAATCGTCGTACCGATCACAGCCGGTCCCGTGGTTCAAGGACGGATGTGAGCGAACCCTAATCTTTCGGATGTCCGCGTGTCGTTGGCTCCGCGGAGCCGGAGATCACGAACTGGGACCCTTAAAGTCCGAACTGATATCTGATTTGAGCGCGGCTGACTGCGACGTAATAGAAGTACCGACTATGGCTGGAACGAAGTTCCGCCTTCGTACTGAACAGTCGCGATGTCATCCGAAGGTGAGAGTCAAACTATTTTCTGTGACGCGTTGCAGAAATTCCAATCTCACATGGTCGACGGGTGTTTACCGTTCTCACGCCCTTCGAATGGGCTAACGGACAGCCGGGCCGACTAGTAGTCAGGAAGCAAGCCGAGACGGGGTCAGCCGACTGGCGCGAGGAGCTCCTCTCTAAGCGTGGATTACTGCCGTCGCGCGTAATGATCGCGGATCGATAGCACCCACTGCATGAACTCGAGTTCCCGGGCCCCATTAGGGTCTTTGCATTTAGAGTAAAGACGAACATCGTGCGTGTAATTTGCTCCCCTCCATATCGTCCATCATCCGTTCTGCTCCAAAATCGATGCATTATAACCTTTGAGCGGACCCCCGACATTCGTATCAATGACCGGGTCCGATCAGAGCGGGTGTCGGATTCGAGTCGGCTGTTGAGTGACTTTCAAGAATAAGATCTCTCGGTTCGGCTCATCGGGTGATAATTCCACGCGGAGCACCGAGGAATTGTCTCCGGCACAGACAACGGCGTCGTACTTTCTGAAATCATATCAATCTATCTGATGGCCAGAACCACGAAAATCATCAATAGTATTCATCACACCATTCGCCTATCGAGATGGTCCCCGCGCATGGAGTCAGGTCCTGAGCCCCAGGCGGAAATCGAGGCTGATCATTTTCGAGGAAAATCTGAGACTGTCGACGACTGGGTTAAATCGTTTGCGGTGCGTCTCTGAGTTTTGTTTCGCTTTCCCTCTTTTCGAGCTCTGGCCTACGATTCTCAACGAACAATGTCGTCGTTCGCTGTCGTTCCTACTCGTCTTGAGTCGAAGTCGTCATCAGGTTGACGGGCCGCAGGTGGTATGAACCCGGCACACCGAGACTGACCGAGCTGATCATCTGCAGCCAGGCTGTAGGTACAACGAGGCTCTGTTTTCCGAAAACAATGCTGTTCTCCGATGTCTTCCGTTTGAGCGATGGAGGCAATCGGGGTGCGGAGGGAAATTTCCCTCGATTTTCGGCGTCCGAACAGGTGCGAACCGGCGGAGAATCCCATGTTCGAGAGACGCTCCCGCACCGTTCTCATTCCTAGTATCAAATGGTAAATGGAGTACCAGTTGGTCGGGCAAACCCGGAATGGGCTCGTGAATGTGATCGCGTCGCAATCGAGAATCGTCAACCGAATTTCGACGAATCTCCCTCCGACACTTCCTTCTTCGTATTGAGATAGCAGCAGCCGTCTCCCCAAGAATGGATCCGCATCGCGGCTCAGAAGTAGCTTCACAGATTATTGGCTCGAGTCAGTCGTTACTTCGAGGAATTGGTTTTTTTCCCGCGCCTCCCCACATCTATACCGCTCTCGTCTACGAAACGAGTGTATGCGCCATCACGTCCGTATCTGTGTTGCCATGATTTCCTCTACCCTATCGGTGGCCGATCGTCATGAAAAAGACGACGGGACCGCTCAGAGCTGACTCCGAGCCGAGAACCTCCTCTCCATTAATGAATAACATCGTGACTCGCCTAGGTGCTCCGGTCGTGTAGGCCGCGTAAGTTTATCATGCCGATCGCGCGAGAGCTGTACTACGTACTCAATTCATGAATGATTTACGTTCATTACGTTCTTAGCTTTCAATGGAGCTCCGGATGCCAATCGGAATAATTCGGAGCGGACGGAAGAAATTATTCGGGCTCTGGAATTGCAGTTTTTCTCGCGCAGTCGAGGAGTCAGCGGAGAAATGAGGATAGACGGACCTCAAGAGAAAGCACGAGAAAAGATGGCGGGTCAAGATGGAGTCGAATTCCTGCTCTTCTCTTCCGGGTAGATCTGACTCCTGGGTCTCATGAAACAATTCCGAATGTTTTTGGAGACGGTATTAAAACTATACGACTCGCTCTGTTTTACGATCTCACTCAGACTCGCTGGCCATTCGTGAAGTCGTTCCGAGCGCAGTGGCCATGCAGATGGGATTCTCGCTGAGGCTCTCTGGAATCGCTTTCTCCCCCGCGAAAGCTTCGTATCTTTCCTCGGACGAACTCTGAGGAATCCAGAAGCCGAATCCAGAACACTCCCTGGAGCGAAGGACATTCGCTCGACGAATTCGGAAGCGAATGTCCTTTGTAACCTAGGACCTAAGTGATTCGCAATTAACTTCCCAAACTCCAACAGCCGCGGCTTCCGCCAATGGGGAAGTTTGATGAGAACGGAGCAGCTCTTTGAGGAAGTTTGTCTCAGACTTTCCGGCATTTGGAAGCCAACTTAGCCAAGAGGAACGTCTGAATGCAAAGTACTTTGACAACAAGAGTTTCTGACCCACTCAGCGGAGCAGCTCTTCGGGAGGACCTTGTCGTGGGATTGGTGGAATCATCTCTCTTACGTGACCTTGCTTCCGTCGGAGAGACTGTACCTCGATTCGGAGGTATTCGCCCATCGTGCGGTCACACCCGAGCATCCGTAAATATACGCGCACGGATGACTGTGCTCAGCACGATTCGATCCGAAATTCTCGCTCGTCACCAGTTACTGTATTGATCCGGCCGCCGACGCTGAGATATCTCCTGTTCTCTTTGTCTCCGACGTTCGAACTATGAAAATATTGAGCGCGAGCAAAGCGACGCGTGATGAGGCGGACGAGCGAGGAGGAAGACGTTCGGAGGATTCTCAGAAGTTTTCCCTCGATTAGTCGAGCCAGACAAAGAGAGAACCTGCGTCCGAATGATTATGGCAGCCACGATATTCTGTCCGCGGAGCCTCTTTCTCTCGAATCCGCTTCCTTCATGGATGGAATGCCATCCCCGACATCATCACCATAGACGAGCGGACATGCTTGAAGCGCGGAGACATGCTGCTTGCATTGCTCACATACCGCGCGCGCGGTCCTCAACCAAGACCGTCAGAAAAAAATCCTCAGGGCCACAACCGGCGTCGATATCATCATCGGCAGCAACAATCGAGGCGGCTAGGTCGTGGTTTTGATCGTCGAGAAAGGCGGTATCCTCACTTCAGTTCGGTGAAGTAGGCTACTGTGGGTGCAGAAAATGGGCTGCCTGTTTAGGCGATTGAGTGGTCGATGTCGCCTCGGAGGAACCTCGGAGCGTGGGTGGTTCACCTATCATATTCAAAGCGATGAAGAATCTCCCGTGAAAATGCAGAACACACATGGAGTCATTTCGTTCCCTTATCTACACAAACCGGTCCGAACTCGTCCGGACAGGCCTTCATGGGAACTACTCGCGTTCGCCGATCAGAGCCCACGGTCGCTCTCATCGAATCCCGTGAGCTCACTCGTTCACGATGCTAATGAGCGAAACAGAAGCGCCGGCTCCGAAGACACATTTTCTTTCTCTTCGTCGTCCCACTTTCCTCTTCGTGGGCTCGTCAATGAGCCGCAACAACACGACGCCAGACTCACACATCTTGACGAGTGAACGCTTCCTCGGTTGAAACTTGTTGTATTTTTTCTTCTCACACGGAGCTCGCCTGCCTTTTTCCACCATATTTCTCTCCGGATCGTCGTGAATCTTGACAGTATTGAAATAGATCAATTATTATTGCCTCCTCTACTCCACGCTGATTACGATCCATCGATCGTGATCGGAACGGACGCATATCCTGTGGGTGACACATGAACATCATTCATGATTGTTGATCCGCAGCGAGGAAGTGTTTACTATCTATCCTTAGCTCAGACAATGGAAAGAGAAAAAGGAACTGTTTTTGAATCTGATTGATTATTTTGTCCGTAATTTTTCTGTGAGGCTCAATCGATAATAATCTCTCGCGGACTTGTCGTCCGGGAATATTGGCGCAGGACAGATTATGAGGAAAACCGCGAATTTTTGCTTTGTATCGGATAATTCTCCGGGAAATTCCCCCGGCTTTTCGCGAGAAATCGGAATTCCTTCGGCGAAACCTTCAAGAATGCGGCAAAAATACAGTTAGCAGAACGTGGTTTCGATCCACGGACCTCTGGGTTATGGGCCCAGCACGCTTCCACTGCGCCACTCTGCTATGGACACCCCTGCCCGAGCTGTCTGGAGCGCTCGGATGTCGAACCGCCACCCAGACACGATTCAAGTTCACCGAGTCCGAGTCCCGCAGCTCATTTCAACGCCTCATCCAATGCATCAAAATTCATTTCAAGTGGAAACATCGCTGACATGACTCGGCCGAGGCGCTCTCTAGTCGCTTTTCAGAATGCCGCTGCTTCCATGTCGCTTGTCCGATCATCCAAGCATTTGCAAGTTGTCCAGCTGGAACTTTTGTTCAAAGTCGGCTCCGCAGTCCATTCACCCCGCGTCGTGCAGATCCAGCTGTTGGACTTTGGGTTTGTGTCTTTGGCCGTAGATGGCGCTCGCGCTGGCCATGAGCGGCAAGTCACCACTCCAAACACACAGTCAGTCGAGAGTAGTGGTTGCTCCGCCAGCTAGACAGGTCGCGTAAAGCGCTGTCACTGTGATCGGTGTTTTTCTAGTTGTAGTTCTTGCCGTAGTGCTCGCTCCCGTGGGTTCTTTCCATCATTGTTCTCCAACGGTGCTTCTCAAGTCGCATTGAATTGTATCTCATGGATAACTGAAAGGATTACGACCATGAAAAAGGTAAAAGCTCTCGCGGAGGAACTCCGGTATCGCGAGGTACTCGGGTTTCTGGACCCAGGGAGAGGCTGAGAGTCTCCCCCCCAGGGCTGAACAAATCGTTCCCATCGGAGGAAAATCTGGAACGGTCAAGCGTTCTCCGCACCTACTCAGGCGAGCATACGTTTGCCAACTCAGACGACTATGTATGGACGTTTCATACGATGTCTGCGAATGGAACGCTGGATAGTCGATGAGTTCTGGGAAAACTGGGAAACGCTGCATGAGCTGGGAAACGTTGTCTGAGGCAGGGAACTGATGGCGAACTTTTCGATTTCTCGCACCTTCCTCCCAGGAACAGTTCCCCGTCTGACTTTCCCGGAATCCCTTGTGGGTATCCCGAAGCAACGTATGAGCTTGTACGTTCCTTCAAATAATTTCCCGGAAATTCTCCGGAGCCCACACACATACCGCTCCGACTCTCCGATACACCACGCAGAGAGACTCTTATGGGATGGTGCGAAATTTATTTAGGGTCGCGTCCCATATATCGACTGACACAAGATCAAACGATAAGCGACTTGAACCCGGGTTCCGACGAACAAAAGCTGTCGTCGGATACCGACGGGTACGCTGCGGCGCTTCAGCATTGGGATCCCTCATTTGATTGAATATGCGCATCAAGAGAGGGAGAATTCTCTCCCCACTCAGTTAGCTGGTCGAATAATGGTGCTGGCGGAGGCTCGAAGCCGACCAACCTTGCATTTGACCCATTACGAAAAACTGAGCTCCCATCTAGGCCTCTGTCTGCGCTCAGAATCGCGCGGAACGCTTCTCCTCCAGAGCGTCGATCTCTTCTACTCTCGCTCCTCGGCTACTGGGTAGCTATTCAGACTGGATGGCTTTCCTCTTCAACACTCTCGGGAACGAGGCTGGAGACGATTCCCGGTCGCTACTGGTTGATCCTTGCGATGAAGGCGAAAACTCTCAAATGGAAGAGTACTGGAAGATCATAAACTATTGAACCGAGAGTGGCCCCTGCTCGATTCGAGTCGCACTAGATTTTGCTCTTCTCCACGCTGTCTCTGCTCTATCGAGTCCAAACGACGGTCGACCGTGACGTACACCTGTGTGTACCGGTGAGAGGAACCGGGCCTCTACCTAACAGAAAAGAACTTAATCGCGTAGTCTGACGGTTTACGAGCAGCTGCTACGACTGACGTGAATCTCTCATGAGTCGACATAGCCCTCGGTTCCCTCTTCATGTCTGACTAAAACCTCTACAAATCCGCCAAAACGGTCTGGGGACCTTCCTAAGTGGGTTTCCTGCACGGATGGAGCCAACGGGATCGCGCTCGCGAGCGTGTGTATAACATTAGTGCTCTTTTTCACAAACAAAAACCCTTCCACGGCGAGGATCAGTCGTGGTGATTGAGCGGCAGAGCCCCGTGCATGTTTCGGAGATTTGCGGCCGCCTTTGAAGATCCGGATTCGACCCCTGTTCAGAATAGAGATGTGGATGATCGTAGGCCGGCTTCGATTTTCGTGAACCGATGTACAATATTGGGCTCCGGTCTGTGGGATTTGGTTTTCGCTGGCATTTTCTCCCGAAGACATGAGACACCTTCCGACGCTTGCTCCTCGGAATGGGGACTCCTTGACCTGTCCCCGATTGGAACGTCTAATAACCCAGGAGGTATACTAGTGCGGAATTTACTGTTCGATCGAACCAAGAAGTGTTTGCTTTGTCCTAGCTTGAGAAGATCATGCTGGAGCTCATAGAGGCTTGGAAGACCCGCGGACGACAATTTCGAACCGATGGGACGTCTCGGACGACGATGATGAATCGAATTGCCGCGATCGCTCTCTCTTTTATCGATTATCTTTTCTTCCTTTTTGTTACCCTGATTTTGTTCCGCGTTCATCGGCGAGCGACATTGTGGGTGCGCTCAGAGATCGTAGGCGCCAGTTGGAGGAATCCTGGGCTAGAAAGGAAATCGGGATAGTACAGACGTCTGCCTCGAGGCTTTGCCGGAACGGCCGGAGTGGCTTGATGATTTCGAATAGCCGATTCAATTTTGTCTCAATGGTCGCGCTAAATACATCGTTTGCCTCCCATGACCCTAATGACTCTCTTGCACATGACATGACAGAAAAAGGGGTAATCGCGTGGTCGAAGCATGACTCACGGGAGCGTCACACACTTAAGGCGAATTGCTTTCGTGGTCGCTTTAGGTCACCTGAGATGCCGATCGAACTGTTCCTAGGCGATCGAGACGACGAAAACGATCATCACGATTGCGGCATTCACGACAACACTCCTCTCATGAGACGCGGGTTTCGAGTGTGTACCAAGATCTGTTTGGTATGGGATTGCTCTTCGAGAACGTTTGGATGACGAAGAGTCCAGATTTCGCCGAAAGATTCGATGAGTCTTCTCTGTGTTTGCCTGTGATGGAGAAGCTATCAAATTGAGGGACAAACAGCGAGGGACGAGGGGGCGCCCGGAGAAGGGGCAATCGAGAAGAAATGTCGAACTAGAAAGCGAAGGAGACGGAAAGCTTATTCAGTTCTCTTCAACGACGATCATGGAGCTCGGGCACAAACAAGAAGAACGAGGCATGGACAATTATCCAGGAGCTCCGCTTTGAATGATCTATATTCGTCGAGTCGTTCGTTCCCGTCGGCAACTTCCTGGATATTCAGAATTCTCAGGCCGCGGGCTTCGAGTCTGCGCTATTCCGAGGTTGGGAACTCGCGCACATGTTACCTTTGAATGTCACCGCTCTTCGAATCACTCTCCGGATGCCTCCACTGGAGCCATTCGCCCTGAGTGGCATCAAATTATACCCGGCTCGCGACACCTTTAACGAATCACAGATCATGGAGAAATATTCCTTCTGCATTTATCCCATTCCTTGCGTAGGGCCTTTCCCCGCTCTGTCTTCAACAGAGGGACTTTCCGAAAGACCACGAGGCACGGTAGTTTGTTAAGTTCATGAGCGACTGTCTAAGAGAGCTCCTCCCGCGTGGCCGTCCGTGATCGAGAATTCTCGGGACCGGAAATTTCAATAAAGCTCCGGCAGGAGGGAAACGTCTTAAAATTCAAACGGACGCGACTCGACACCCGCCACGGGGATGTCCGGCATCGGTCGTCGAATGAAACGAGTAGGATTATTATTCCGCTCCCGCTCAGCAGAGGACGAATTTCGTCGATTTCGTTCGACGCATCTCGCTAGGTCCGCCTCGAGAGGCGCCTATCGCCAATTGTTCGTTATCAGCGCAGAAAAGTTCCGAGAGAGTACTTGAACTCCGTTATCGTGGGTCGCTTCGATAGCGCTCTTGCGGTCGGAACCAGACCAATTCGCGGCGTGAAAATTTACTTTCCTATCCGTCACCTCAGCAGCCGTCGTTTTGCGCCGCGGACAGAAAAAGAAACCGAAGAATGGAGCCACTTTCGATTCCGATTATTGAATGTCTATCCCGGTAATCCTTGGAACCTAAAGAGCGCTCATCGAGGCTAAATTTAGACTCGAGAACACGATAGGAGGGACGGCTTACGTCGACCTTCTCCTCACGCTACATAATGTGTGAGCAATGCTCCCGTACTTTTCCGTGGAATTCACGCGACTCACCCAAGGAGCGGCTCGCGAATTTCGGTTCCGGTAATTATTGAGTTACATCATCCTCTCGTTGACATATCGTAAGCCCGAACAACTCATAAGGAGAGAGGTTGTTTCCTTGATGGGAGACGGTCTTGTAAACATGAGATGAGGTAGCTATGCAATAGACTCCCTTTCGCACCTTCGGCTTCAAACTCTCACGAATCCTCGCTGTTCCTTTCTTCGCATTCGGCACAACTGAGCGTCTTTCAGGAACGCGCCGCTCAATGCTCTATTAAAGAAAATTTCCTAAGTCGTCTCAGCTATCGTACACGTCGTCGTCGACACCGCCAGGTTATCATTCATGGCATAAGAGTCGGCGCGGATTGTCTCGGATAGCTTTCATGAAACGGCAATCACTCCAAACTTGGGTTTTGTGCACTTTTCAGACGCCACGTGGGCGTGACGTCGTTCCCAATTGACACAAAACAGATCTGAAGGCGCCGAATACACCCAGACTCTTGTGTTTTCTTCTTCTCCTTCATCGTCATGCTTCCTTTCGAAGGGCCGAGGCTTTCATGACCCAGAAGCAAACACTTCAGTGGTTGAGATGTTTCTTCTAAACGCGCTGGGCGCAAAGGGGCGATTAATGAGCATTCAAGCACCGAGTTGTGGAGAAAACGTGAACTCGAGTAGAAACTTGGCTAGGCAGCTCACTCATGTTATGGGCAAATCCGGCCGTTTGACATGCGAGCATCTAAAATCAGAAGTCCGACTCGAGATGGGATCGTCTGCGGTCTTCGGAATGGTACCGCGAAATCGGTGAGTCCGGAACTCACCTGGAATGTTGCGGAGCTGATACAGTTCACTCACGGAGGATACTCGCGCGAAAACATACGTTGAAAAGACGAATCGAGGGTTTCGAATTCCGGGATTCTGACGGAATCGCATCGATATCCAAGTCTCAGTCCTGGGGCGCCTCTAGATTGCTGATAGAAATGTTAGGGGGGCATAGAGAGATAGAGAAAGTCTACGGCTAGAGTGCATGTTCCTCCCAATCCAAACATCACTTTGGGAACGCGGACGCTCACTCAGAGTCGTTCCGTGGACTAGGCGTCTGTGCCTTTTCGAGACCATGCATGTGGGATCGTATGTGTATGCGTCTGTGAATAATAAACAACGGATGGCCTGAGACACGAATTAGTCGAGATGTAGAGCTCCGCAAAACTCATGAAGCCGGGTCATAGCGTCCAGATGCGCTCACTGATCCCACATTCGTTGCGCACATTCAACCTAGACCCCGAAAGCTTTCTCGGACCTGTCAGCTGAATTTTTTCTCTCTCCAAAACCGCTCGCTGCTAAACTGTCTGCCTTGTTCTCGAGTGTGCGTGAGTCATTGTGCGCGTGCTCTGTTCATTCCGG